ATTGTTAAGACCAAGGAAAATAGATTTGCTGTTATAAAGACTGTAAACAAGGAGACTGCTTGAAAACCTGTGTCACGGGCCTTCTGACATCTTTCCACAGACATCATGCACAGAATTTTCATACTCAGCCTTTAAACCAGTCAAAGCCACCTAAAGACTATTTCAGAATGGACAGTCCTGCTAAACCAGTATCACTGCTGCTCTTTTCCTAAGAGCCTTTCTATGAGTTGCCAGTCAGGTCACCCCAATTTTCAGTTCAAAGAGCAGGAGAATCAGCTACCATGTCCTCTCATTTCCACAGGAGCTCTCACACCAAGGCAGAACATCTCACGTAGATGAATTTCCGAGTGCAAATCAATAGAGAGGATACAGAAGAAAAGATCAAGTATTATCCACAAACTCTGCTGATCGCCAGCTTTGTCTTGAAAAGACAGTCATAAACTGCCCATTCTAGTTAATGTCTGCATTCAGTAACAGAGCTTTGTTTCCTTTTTTCCTGGGTAATGAAGAGGAGTTGCAATGTTATTTCTAACCCACTTTCACAACATGGAGTAAGAAGGTATTTAAACAGGGAGACAAGGCTAAATCAGCTGCTCTTTGAAGCAGTTTATAAAGAAGGAATTGCAGCTGCATTAACGAGGTAATATCTGTATTCCTGGCTGTAAAATGTCTGGAATTCAATCATATTTGAACTTTGCAAAATGTCTGCATACGTGTGTCAGTTCACAAGGCAGGACACTGCAAGTTGTTCGTCATATGTAAGAGACGTTTTACAAGTTTAAGTGAAAGAAACAGAGTTCTGATGGTGGCCGGGTGGCTGCTGGTTGCTGGGAAATGCTGGCTGAGCATCTCAGAACACAGGGAACTGTTTTTTTAAATAATCGGTTTTAGCTGAGCAGGAGGAAGGAAAGGGAGCTGTTTGCTTCTGAATCTGCTGCTCTAGCAAGGGTCTCATTCTGCTTGTGCACTTTGTTACCTGCTTCAGAGTAGAGAAAGAGGAGATATAATCAGCTATAGATGGGGCTCCTGCAGTTCAGAAATCTGGTATTGCCTGCAGCACAGCTGGAGGCATAGAAAATTTAGCTGAGATGTGAGATTTTATGATTGTACTAGCAAATATAGAAGTACCACTGAAAACACACATTACACACATAGGCTGAAATGGAACTACTCACAACTGATTATAGGAGCAGCAGAAGGGAGGAGCACAGGTACAAATTACAACAAACACAGCTATACTGATGTGTAGAGGACTGTATCTTGTCAGACCAGCAGATGATTATTCCCCTTCCTCATCTCATTTTGTACAGAGGGAGAAACAGAGTGTAGGTACCCATGCTGACATATCTCCAACTGGGCTTCTTCTGATAGCAGAAATAGAATTCCTGATTTCTCATAGGCAAGAATAATTTTTAAATGTTCTTGCACTGAACAACCTTTTTATAAAAAATATGTATTTATTAAATCAAAAGAAGAGAATGCAGGGGTACCACAATGAAAGAATTTAATTTAAGAACTCTAGCTGTGCTTCAGTCTAAGATTAACTATAAAAAACTTCTAGGATCCTATAAAAGGAACAGAACAGAACTTTTTTTTTAATACCAGATCAAATTTTCTTTCTTAACAATTCTTTTCCTTAAGAGAAGATGGTTTTTTCAATTCTTCTCATATGTGCAGCCTTTAATTAGTCTGTTGGGCAAAGGCAGTATTAGCTAGACTCTGCCACAATAACCCATATTTGGTAGCTAATTACTCCTTGAATAGTCTTAAGGCTACCAGCAATTTCAGTACAATTGGCAGCCTGAGCCCCCAGGAGCTGTTCCAGCATCCAAGAATAGCTGGAACAGGGACACAGGCAAGCCGTGACCCTTTCTCCTCAGCCACAACCTAACATATCTACTATGCCAAAGGCAAGAGCAACACTGAAATGAAAATATTCCCAAGCGGCTAAATGTGCTCTCTTTATGGCCTTTTTAAACTAATGAAGTAGCATAAAGGGACTATAGAGAAATGGAAAATAGGACCTTTTAAATGCTAAAGCAGTGTCAGGACTACCGATCATTTTTCAATTTTGCAATGTTCTATTAAAACAACAGTACAAAACACTTATATGGGATCAAATCTGACACAAGACTTTTATTCTAGTATAATTTTATCCACTTATGTCTCATATTGCAGCAATTTACATCACTGCAATATGGGTGTCAAGTCAGTACAAAATGCTGACTTGATTTAGTAGCATTTCATAGGTATTTTACACAGGTAGAAATTACTTCATGAGGGACACAGCAGTATCTGTGATTTCAGTAAAATGATTCCTGCTGCCACTTGTGTGACATCAGTGGCAAACTAAAATTAACATAAAAATTTAAATGAGAACTTCAATTTTAAACACACTGTTAATTCAGATACTATTCCACAACTCCAAAGAGGGTTGCTCTGCAAATTCAGCAGTACTTGTGCTTGCAAAGAGCAAGGAATTCCCTCTAAAAAACTTCAAAAGTTTATGAGGGATCCCTTTCTACTACATTCTTTTAACTTACTCTTTAGTTTATCGCTGCTGATGAGCAAACTGATACAAGTATAGCTATGAAAGTGCCAGCATTGTTGATGCTGACGGTGAGATGGACACTGGACTCTGGACAACAGTGATATCTTAGCTCAGGTCTTAGCAGCAGCACCATAAGGCTGTAGGTTTGAAGAGAAGTTGCCTTTGGCAGTGGTATTGACTTAAGGTACTTCCTACAATTTTTTCTTCCTTCCTGCCTGTTTCTTCCTTCCTTCCTTGTTCTCTTAAGAGCCATATGACTCTTATCAACACAACTGTCTAAAAGGTCACCTTGTGAATCAGGCCATGGGAATTTAATAGGTATTGAAGAAAAAATTCTGCAAAAAAAGCTTTGCTAGGCAGTTTAACCTGAATCAGTCTCATGATTCTGTTCCCAAACACACACATATACAGTCATTTTGTCACAGCTGAAACAGAGTCAGGAACAAGCAGCTTATAGTTGAGGTGAGTCCTGAGAATGCCTCAAAACAGGCTGCTGCTGGCAAAAGTGCGCGTGGAACAATACATTTACTGTGTCCCTTGCTTACCTGCATGTGCATCAGCCTGTTCCAGGGCTATGGTCCATGACTTTAAGTACTGCAGTAATTTAGGGCACCAGTAATCCTTTCCCAGTGTTTGTGAGGGAATTTGCCTGCCCTTCTGAGAGCAGAGTGGGGATTGGAGAAACAGCAGTGTTCTTAGCACCTGATTGCAAATCACCAGTCTAAAGGAAAACAAAAGTAAGACATGCTAAATTTGGGTTCCACTGAAGTACAAACCTTGACCCTCCTGACTACCTATAGCAAAAGGTACTGTTCAGCTCAGTTCCTCTCAGTGGGAGTTATACTAAGACCATGTCCAAAGCACTGAAAAAAATCCTCTCTGGCTTTAAGATCCAGAAGGATTCCAATCTAACTGCATGTCCTGACTCAAGATTTCCTGCCAGTTGTGCTCCCCTAACATCAGAGTCCAAGACTTGAAGAATAAACAAGTGCAGCAGATTCTGAAGAAGTGACAAAATCATCTCCTAAAATGGCCTTGGTTATGGATGGGATAGTGGGACAGATGGACTGTAGGACAGATGGAAACCTGTTGTGAAGAAAAAAAAAAAGATCAAAATAAAGGTAGTCCAACACAGGAGTAGATTGTCCAAGGGTACCTCTAGACTCTTCATCCTTGGAGATATTCAGAACTCAGCAGGACAATGCCCTGATCAATCTGATCTTAAGTGGCCCTGCTTTGATCTGAGATTGACCAAGTGACCTCTAGGATCCCTTCAAAGTAAATTATTCTGCTATTCCGTGACCAAGGAGTGTGTAGGACTGATGAGGCTCCACGGATTTAAACTGGGTAATGCTCAGGAAAAATCTGAAACAGCAGTCAAACAAAGCAAACTCTCTTTATCACTTATCCATTCCCCCAAGCCCTTATTTCAAATGCTTTGGAAATTAAGGAAATGTCCATAGTTCTGAAACTGTTAGTAGCTGTGTCAGAGCAGTGAGAGAAATGGCGGCTTGTTTGAGGCACAGGAAATGCTCTCACTCTTTCTTATTATCACTTAGTATAGAGACCAGGTGAAACCTTGACATAGGGAAAGCAAGGCCTTAACTAAGTGCAATTCAGGAAACATTGAGAGGGATAGGGATAGGTAAAAGGCCTTAATTTATGTTTCCAAAATGAAAAAGAAATAAAATAAATCCTTATATACATTAACAATATTATACTAATGTTCTGTAAGGCTGGAAGGCCTTAGAGACCTACTCAGGAAACCAGAAAGTCTTGCATCAGAGCCTTTCCAAGCATTTTTCATTTCGAGGAATTTCTTTTTCTATCATCTGTGGGCAAATCCTAAGTTAGGTGTGTAAGTATTATTGCTGTACAATGAGATTTAACCACACTGGGAGTTAACATATATTATAATAATATACAATTCATAATAATTGTATATAATTATAAATTGTGTAAAATGTTTCTGTCCATATTGCCTTAGTAGTGCAATGTAAGAGTTGTAGGGTTTTGAAAGATTTATATCTAAAAAAGTTTAATTAGATTTTTACTGAATAAAAAAATACATTGGTAAGGTTTTATAACATTATTGTATAACCACGAATTATTTCTTGTGTGATCAAAATGTTCTTACTCATATGTGTTGTGATTATAGGGCATGTTCTCTGGAGGCTGATATGATTGGCATGGGAGCATAAGGAATGATGGCTAGTTCACTGCAGAAACTACCAGCATATAAAGCTGTGGTTTCCTGACTTACTACTGGGAAAGATACTGTCATTTGGAGCATGTAAAGATGACAGTAACTTAAACAGAGGTAAGCAGCATTTCCAAGAGCTAAACCACAACACAAAACCTCTACACATGACATGTTCAGAGCTCCAAACTACAGCAATGAAAATAAATAAATACTATGTGTACACAACATCATAATTACACCAATATCTTACAATGGCAAGAGAAATAGTTTTTAATAAATTCTTCTACAGTGCAACTTACAGCCAGAGTATTTCTTTGACAGAAGGCTGGACAGCAATAGGGATGTTGGGAGGAAGTGAAGCAGGAAGGTGGAGAAACAAAGGACTACATCCATTCCTGAGAAATCAAGTCTCTGCATACCAAAGATCCCTTGGTATATTCCTCAATCACACCCCACTAACTATTCCCTTCCACATTGTCCATGTCCAAAACAGAAAAATAAGTTGTCAATGTCTTATCATTCAATGAGATTGGATCCTCCTCGGAGTATGTGGGGCCGCCATATAAATAGTCTTCAGTAGTTTCTTTGCTTTAGGATTTTTGGTCAGTCCTGAGTTTCTGAGACCCATAACAGCATAAGAAAGTGCCTCTATAATGTCTGCCGCTAGGTAGCTGGACTCATTCCATCCCAAGTGCACTGAAATCACACACTGGACGGCAGATGTTTCTCTTGCAGGTAGAAGTCAAATACATAAATCACATTTTGCTTTAAGCATCCCCATATGTAGCAAATTGCTATGTATCATCAGACCTTAATTTAGTATATTTAATAAACTTTCGCTTGAAAGTAGTTTATGTTGACGAGCTTTTATGAAGCATCACTTTTTGCAAAATTCAACCCCAAAGGATGTTTTAAGTTCTCTTCTTGTATGCCTTTAGTACTTGCCTATAATGTAATGTGATTGCAGTTAAAATAGCACTGCTAGTAGAGATTACATTGGAATGGTTGTGAGCCCAAGCCTGTCTCTGGAGTAAATGATGTGAGTGCTTTGTATGAATTGAATAGTGGTGTGTTGCCAGGAGTTACTCCTCCACAGGAAACTGTATTAAAAATAACAGTCTTTCAGTACAATCTGGTCCCATTTGGAGAACACACATAACCTTTTAAGAGTGATAGTGGTAGAAGAATGCTAAAAACATAAGCTTTTAAAAGGTGACAGCGGTAGAAGAAACAGTAGTAGAAGAATGTTAAAGATGCTTCAGCTGTGCCAAGACTGATTTTGGAAAGTTCCCCAAAATGTATCAAGAGAAATAAAATGGCACTTCAACTTCTAAAAAGTAACTTCCGCATTCTCCCACAGTGCTAGCTTAGTAGAATTACAGCTCTACAAACTCAGACTTGCGTAATAGGAATTCTTGCTGAATTTGGGGTGTGCAATGTTAACACTAGTCGTGTATATTATTTATTGATTATTCCAATTTTTAGGGGTCTTGTACACATAAAAGTTTTATTAGCATCACTCTGTCAGTTAGAAGAACATTTTTACTAACTTTGTTAAGCACCAGTGGTATAGATGTAGTCATACCATAACAAAGCTGATTTACAGTCCCCAGTATGTGCTACACTTTTAAAAAGAATTCTTGTGTTCATATGACTGCATCTACTTCAGGATACCCTTTTCTACTTTAACTTATTTCCTGGTATGGAGGTACAAGTACGCTCTTACCTTGAGAAGAATCATCCCTCTTTTAGTTTATTCCGAGCCACAATCATACCCTTTTGCCAGGTCTGCTCCAAATTCCCAGCTCCATTTGTTTTCATACACTATACAGTTTGGAGGGAAAAAAACTCAGTGGCAATGCCAGCTTTCATAATCCCTGCTATTCTTCAGTTAAATCAGTTCCATAGGCTACTCTAGGATGCACCCAAAAAAATTGCTGTGCTAGCCTAGTAAAGACTGCAGTACAGGTGCAGGTGGAAACAAATAGCCAGGGTGGCCTGCACAATGTTAAGCAGTACTGCCACAGAAAGTTGCATTGCAGTCACTTACAATCCCTGGCCAGACAATGCTGCAGTGACAAAAGTAAGTTCACAAACTCTAATGAAATTTCAATGAAAATTAACAAAATCCCAACAAAAATTGTACATGACCCCAGCTGATTTTATATCGAAGACAGTAAAACCTGCATGCACTTACTGATGGATTCAGCCCTTTGACTTAGGAAATCTCAAAAATCACTGGGTTTACACTGCAATGTTCTGGTTTACAATCTTCACCTCTCATAACTACTGTCATGACAATTCAGCTTCAGAATGAAACGTCACAGATCTGTAACATGACACAGCAGCTGCATACTTAAAAGAAGAAACATGGTGGGAAGCACAGAATCAAATTCTTTTTCTTTCACAATATGGGCTCAAACCTAACCCAGCAATTTCAAGAATTATGTTTCTATTTATCATTACGACTCATTTTTTTCCATCTCATTAATTACATTTACACGAGCACGCTTGAGATTTCTACACAAATCATATTCTTGAACATTTCTGTACTTGCCTAAGGTGAAAAATATAATTTGAATTTGTGTCTTTCCCCTTCTTTCCCTCTGAGGAAAAAATTGTCAGTCTATTTACAGCTAATCAGACATAGACATGCTCTGACTTGAAACAGATTTGTCTAAGGACTATGCAGGGTTTATAGCTTATTAGGGTGGTAGGTTATCATTCCATGTGGTAGTAAATAGCTTGAAGAAATAATTTTGTCCCAGGAGAGGTCCTATCAGATATTTTCTGTTTGTACCACTCTAACTCTGCGCTGGTTCAGGCATAATTTATCCTGCTCAACTGACAGATAGCTGGCACAAACCCTGAATAAACACTGTAACGTATGCTCTGAGTGATTTGGTAAAAATGCAGTTGTGCTCACACCAATAACAGATCAAATTTTTACTGCCAGGAAATCCAGCATACACAGATTTTATATGACTTAATGCAGAATCACAGCCTTATATCGCTTCATTTTTTCTACATATGAATTGAGTTTTAATTACTTTATGATGGGCAAAAATAAAAAGTACAGGTTTGTTTGAAATCTCCCTGACAAATACTTGTGTCGAATGAGTCTATTGTACTATAATGGTTCTTCAAGTAGGGACAAACATGATCTACAGAGAGTACTAATGTCTCTTTCATAACACTAATGTGCATGATTTTGTACCTATATGGTCTGTACAGAAATTAACTCACGCAAGGCAAAAGAGGCGTAACATCCCTCTGTAAAATAGATGTTGAACTGGCAGTGTATCTGCACCACTGGAGATAAACTCATGTGTAACTTGGGTATTTTTGAGCTACTTTTCACCTCTTTGCACCCACTAACAGCATTGGAATAGAGAAAACAGGCTACTTGGATTTTCAACAGCTCATAGTCCTGCATAGGCTTTATGCTGTGTCTGAACTCTCATATGCACCTTGCTTTGTCTGCATAGTTCAATCTCTATTCAGCACAAATCAGTAGAAATACATGGTTGCTGTTACCATTGGAAAAAAAGTTTCAGCTCTAAAACTACTTCTGCAAGATTGCATTGGCCATAGATTTTAACAGGAAAGTTGCCAAAAACTTACTTGTGTTAAATTCAACCTCTCTTTCTGACTCTCTCCAGGCTGCTTCTAACATCCGCCCAGCTTTCAATTCTAACAAACTGATTTTTAAACTATAATATCGCATTGCTTCTTTGGAACATGGATTTCTCATTCAGTTTCAGCCTAGTCCTGATCATTATTCAGAATGAAAAGGAGAAGACAGGGGTACAGAGATAACATATGGACATGCACACACTAAGCCTGGTTTTCCAGTGTCTTGTGTTTTAGTCATATGCAGGCCTGCTAGGTGAGTGCAAAACAAAGGTCAAGGGCTCCTATTTTGATTTGTTAGTATTAATGACTTATTTGCAAAAAGGTTTTAATAACCAAAGATTTGCACAGTGTCTAGATTTGCCCCACGTGTTGATACGGTATCTAAAAACTTGACAGGAATGTGCTGAGGAAGGTGTGTATTTAACAGGAGGGCAAGCTTGAAAATACTTCAATCCCTTCCCACTCCACCTCCCTCTCCTTGCCAGTGCAAGTCTAGCACGGCAGGCATGATCCTGATCATATGATACAGGAGCAATCACGTGACTGAGCAGCTCTGTCATCTCAGTGTAGCCACTCCTGACATCTGAGTAATTATCTACCATGAGTTTGGTGATCTTTATATCCATCCCTTCTAAGGGGAGGGACTTAGGCACTGGAATGTTTTGCTTACACAGCATTTTGTTTTGTTTGGTGCTTTCTCTTCTGGCAGTTGAGAATAAAGGTTTGCATCTTTATAAGACATAAATAAAAGATGAATTGGAATGAGAGAAGTAGTTAGTATTACCCTTCATGAAAATATTCCCTGTAAAATATAAAAGATTGTGTTCACCTGTTCTAGAGTACTTCACAAACAATTCAACCTGTCTGATTAAGAGGTTTACAGCTGCTTCTTTATGTGAATTAGAAAGTACCTATTACATGCACAACAATTACATGCCTCTCATCACAGGATCTAGATTATTCCCAGAAGTCTTTTCTCACATAAGACTTGTCTACATAATCTAGCATAGGGAGTACTCCCCTAAAAATTTGGCCCATAATTCGTCCTCCCAAAAGTTTTAACACCTGCATTAACCAGAAGAAATATTACTCCAATCAGAATGTCTTGGGAGTTTTGTCACGCTGTGGTGGTTTGGGCTAGGCCTTCCTTGGTGACCAGTTTGTAACCAAGGAAGGGTCCAGATTTACCCAGTATTCCCTACGATTTTTACGTAAGCCAGATTATAAGAAGAGAGGAGGAGAGGCCTTCGCTCTCTTTCTTTCCGGCGGCTTGGAGGTGCAGGTCCCCTGCTGTTGAGTCTGTCGTGTTGGGGAGCGAGGCCTGGTTAGGCCTTGTCGACCTTGGGAGACAGAGGTTGCCGGCGATCGTTCCGGAGCGACTCTCAGTTGTCCCAGGGGAGTAGTGAGCTATTTTTCTTTGCTAACTTTTTAGTTGTTAGATATTGGGTCTTGGGATATCTATATATTTTATTTTAGTTTTGTTCCCTTTCCTTTCCTTCTTCCCTTTCCCTTGTGAAATTGTATATAAGTGTAAATATATTTATATATATCTCACTTTGGCTGTCTCTCTCTCTCGTTTCGGGGTTTTTTTTCTTAGTTTTTTTTCTCCCTCTTCTCCCTGAGGTTGGGGGGGGGACGACTTCTGGTGGTAAGGTTTGGAGACTTGGCAGGGAGCCAGCTTCAAACCATATCACATGCCTACATCAAAACTACTATATACCACTGTCAGGCACTGGTAAGAGGCTAGACAAATAGGAACCTTATTCAGAACCAGGGGCCATCGCTTGCAATGGGTTAGACGTTGTTAACATACTTGGGTAAACTTCATTTAACTTTTCCTGACATTATTTTAAGAAGCAAGTCCCAGACAATGTGGGAGCTGCAGAGAAAAATCAGCTACTGTTCTTAGCCACTGCTAAAGCAGAACATGCATTTGGAAGGCAAGACACCACTTCCTTAGTTTACACTAATTTGTGGCATACTTCGTTTTGCACCTTTACTTGAGAGGCTGAAAGTGAGTATTCTGACAATGTCTGGATCCTGTAAACTTACCCTAGGAGTTGTTTTGAGCTGACTCACACTTCTGGGAGCATTCATGCCTTTGATAAGAAATCAGGAAGACTAAAATTAGAAAGATTCAGATTAAACCATTTTAGGGAGCAGTTTATTGTTGATATATAGGGTGGCTTGTGCTAGAAAAATGCTTTGGAACCCCCATGTTTCTATGTTATGAGGCTTTATAGAGGCCTGTGGTGCTAATTCTTCAACAAGCTTTAGGTTAGGTGATCATAAATTTGTACAGTTGTATAGGCCAGAATAATTGTAAGGTTTGCATGGGGTAACGGTTGATTTCTTTTTCAAAATACATGTCAAATTATACATAAATCTTGGCATGTGCTTTTCTGTGAGCACAGGTATCTGATCTTACAGATTAGCTGCTTTACTCTTCTTTAAAACATTCTTGCATAATGGCCATCTTTATAACTAAGTGAACAACAAATGTCTAAATAAACAACTTCATTAATATTGGAAACATATGAAAGGAAATGTTTAAGAGCAAGGCCATCAAACCTGTCAGCTAACAAAAAAATGGTTTTAATTACCTAGTACAGTTTGGAAGACCAAATCTGAAGTGAAATCTGTGAAAATAAAGTCTACAAATGCACTGTCATAACTTTTATGTGTTAGGTTATTGCTCAGAGAGCTTGTCATTAGTCCTTATTGAATTTGTATCTGCACATAAACTTTAGACACCGGAAAGCATTTGTTGCCCTTCTAGCAAGTGCCTTCTTTCCTTTTTCCTCATGCCATTACATTGTCACAGTTTCTTATCCCTTGTTCCTGTTGTACCTGCAGCAAGTCTTGGAATTTGGTGTTCCTCTTCTGCATCTTCACAGCAATGTCATTGGGAGTGAGATGCATTTCTTTGCTATCTGTAGCAACGGCTTTGCTCAGCCTCCTAACTGGCCCTTCCATCCTCAGAGTACCCGCAAAACTAGAGAAAGAGAACACGTTAATCTGAGATTCCAAAGAAGAATGTTGTCTAGCTGCCTTCTGATAAAGGCCCTAGTTTACAAATTTTAACACAATGACTATACTGTCTGTCTAAGCAACAAAAAGGTGCTCTGTTCCAGTAGAGGAATTTCTTCAGCCAATGAAAAGATTTTTGTGTACTCTGGTGACAATACCACATATTGGTGAATGTGTTAATAACAGAAGAGATCCAGCAAAATTCACCTTATTAAACAAATTAACCAAAATCATGCTTGTGAAATAAGTCTGTAAGTATGATTTATTAGAAAGTGGCAAAGGCTACTGATGTGTTGCTGATGCATATGCTGCTACCTGATAAGCATAATCTGGCTGTATTCTGCAACTTCCTCCCCTTTTCTCATAAAAAATAGAAACACAAAGCAAAACCTAAAAAAACATGGACTTTGCCACAGAGGAATTCAGCAATTACTCCTTGCTATGACTGCTTGCCAAAGAGCAGGAGCTGCATGTGTACACAGTTTTCATACATCCCCCTCCATAAAAAAAAAAAAGAAAAAGACTTACAAGGACAGATTGATCTTTGGCGACATTGAATCCTGACAAACTTTGTCCAATGAAGAGGTCTAAAATCGGTAATCCAAGTCACGACAGCTGTATCGCAATCTGTATCCAGTTATGTGCAAACGATGCTGTTCTACAGATTATGACAACACACTAAAGAAAAGGCATCTAATGGTATGAATGGTGCCTATTTAAATACATAGGTCACTACTATGACACATTTACACTTGGCTGCGTATTTACCATTCTCCCCCTCGATAATTAGGTGGACTTTGGGATGGAAGAGCGGTAATAAACTTCTGCGTAAGCTTCCTAAATGGTTTTTGACCTTTACAGAAGCCAATCTCTCTAGGAAAAGCCAACACTGTAACAGATAAGGCTAAAAACTGTATATTGGCTTGAAACATTGGTTCCTTCGCTTGGATCCTGCAGGGGACATCTGTGAATTTGTTGCTTAAATCTCCTAGGATAGCTAGTGGCCATTTTTTAAATGAACCCAAAAACTGGGGCATGTTATCAAACCCAGAAGCAGATCTACTCCTCTGGTCAGCTACTATGAATCACTGGCTTGTCAAAACAGGGATTTGTTGGCCGTCTCTCTGAAGAGTAGTGTGGAACAGTCCATAAAAATATTGTGATTTAAGACTAAATGGAATAAAAAATACCTCATAGACTTAATGGAACTGAGATGGAAAGGCAGGTAAGCAGGACAAAAAGATACAGGAACTTGGACCTGTGACCAACTTCTCTTTGTGATCTTTAATGTACAGTTAATGCAGTTGACAACTGTATATCAACACTAACACAGTGAGAACAGCTGCTGAGGCAGACACCTGTGGACAACCTAGAAGATGATGAGTGTGGTGAACCAAGGAAAATACCAAAGGAATTTTTACATAAGTGATATCATGTTGCAAAACAATATGTACATGTAAACACAACAGCATTTCATAAAGATAATCCCAAGAGAGTTTAAATTAAAAAAAAAAGCATCCACTGAAATTGGGCTAAATCAATATTGTTTTAATACTAAAACTATCTATGTTAGTGATGTTTCCTATGGGGGAAGCAAACAAACAAACCTAGCTTTTTTTAAAACCAATACAAGGTTACTACTATTATTAAATTTGTGAAATTAAAACCACTGGAAAAGCTCTCACTGACTTAATGGAATTTAACTATACTAACTGCACAGATAAATATAATGTGGTTACTCAAGTGCTTGTTTTGCCAGTGTTGTAGTAAAATACACACAGTACAACTCTGCCCAGTATGCACAGGGGCGTACCTGTATGGTCAAGGACTGAGTTGGAATAATGGGTTGGAAATACTAAAATTATTTGCAGTTGGTTTAAGGACTTCAAATTATTATGCCCAAAGGCCTGCCTGGATACCTGCACTGCTGTTTCACTACAGTCTAATTACTGCAGTTCTCAAGTCACCATTGAAAACGAAGCCACACACATACAGCTAAAAATATCCCAAACAAGCTGTTTTGTTAAAAATCTGCCTGTGCAAATGCATTGGCATATGGGTTTTGAAGATGTATCTCTAGCATACAAGTCAGCGCTTGACAGATGCTCGGAGATTCCTGCTGGTCCCAGTGTGGACTAGAGACTTCTCTGTGAAACACTCCCTTAGACAGAGAACTTTACAAGGGATGAACAAAATCACACTGTTATGTTAGAGACAAGCTGAATCTACTTCTATGACATTATGACCAAGCACTTCAGACATCACACTGTTTCTAAAGACTAAGAAAAAACAGCAGACTTTGTACCAATGAAAAATCGAGCCCCATACCAGCCACTGTGAATATTAACTCTACCCTAGCCAAAACTAGCACAGTGGGTCAACATAAATTTTGCAAGATGACTGTTCATACTATATTTTGAATTCTGAATGAAATTTCTCAATAATTCAGCAGCCCTTCATTAAAAGACCCTGTGACGTGACATTAAAAAAAATTGTAGCATTTAAAATAAATATGAAATAAATATGTGTAGAGGAATACAGGCAGATACTATTTTGAAATAAGACATCAAGCACTGCACTGACTTCATCAGTAAGCATTTCCAAGCTGCATCATCTTAAAACACAATCATCAGTGCATCCCATACATTAAGCTGGGTTTAAAAATACCCAAAATCAATGGAGTGGATTGACTGTTCTGTTATTTCAAATTTACTCAGAAATCCCTACATTCCTTGACACACAGTCCACCTCCTAATCTATACTGAATGTAGCCCGTCCTTGTGCGATAAGAGATGTTTCTTCAGCTTCAAAATCCATAGAAAATAAGCCTCAGCCATGAGGTTTGTGTCAGAGTTAGATTTCTGCTTGTAAAGCTGTGCTCTCATTGTGCTTTTCCCTGAGTTGTCTTCTTTTCAAAGCCTGCAATAAGCAATGTTTGAAAATAAAAAGTGAACAATATAACTTTGAGTTGAGGCATTCATCTCCTAATGGAAAAGTTATCCAAAAGATGAAGTAAAAAAGATGAAATTGCATATGACTATAGTGATGAGCTATTAATTTTCAAGGTATTCTTCAAATTTTCTCAGGTAAAAAAACCCTATAAAACTAAATAATTACTCAGAAACAACCAAAACCATAACATCTGTAATTAGAAACTTGGTAATATTCTTTCGTACGTGTTTTTCCAGGGCTTACCAAGCTCTTTATGGGAAACTGTGATATGTAAACATTATTACTACTTTGTTTGCTCTTCAGATCAAATCTGTATGAATGAGGTGTGCATTGATTTCAGAATTTGGAAAATTCTGAGATATTCTTCCCACAGGTAACCCACAGTGTCTGATTTTCCTTTCACTCCTTTAATCATATTGCTGTAATTACCCCACTGACACTCACAATTATGTACATTAGCTATATGTGGGCTTCCCAATCATGGATCAGGATCTATGACAGCTGGCTAGATCAAAATAAGGCCTGTTCATACCTGAAGAACCACTAAGAAGTGCACATAAAGAACAGCAGAAGCAGCACAATAACACTAAGAGACTTCTGTAGACCCTTTATCAGTTGTGTGACTTTTGTCTTGGCAAACCAGAGACAGGTGAGAAAGAAACACTGGTCATAATGGAGAAACTGTTTTCTGGTATTTCTTTGGCAGGCGAAACTAAACAGCATAGCAACAAAATTTGACTGAAGTTGAAACTTGTCTACCCCTGATCAGGATGATGGGTTTGGAAATGGTCTAATCCAGGTATACTTAGTATTGGTATTACACTGTTTCTAATATATTTGTCTATTTTCTAGTGTTTAAATTCTTTCAAGTACAATTCTTCTAAATTTGATCTTTTAAATGACTTAATTTCCCTAGGGCAGGTTCCTGGAGCTCTTCTTGGTTTCCAGCTATTATGTCGGGATCAAAAATAGCCACTGTTTTGCTGTACTAGATCCAAGGCTCACAGAACTAAGTCAAGGTGTCCCAGCCAAGCTCAGGTACCAATATATTCTCTTAAGAAAGGATCCAGAACAGAAAAAGGAAGCTTAGAATGCTTAGAGTTGCCTGATTTCTGAAATTATTCCTGCCAGGATTTAGCACAATTTGGCACACCACCACATTCATGCAGTGGGAAACCACATGTTCTCAAAGAAACGTGAAGAATGTATGAATTTAGAGATAAGATCTTAGTAGGAAGACAGGTAAAAGTATTTCACATCTCTTACTATTTGTTTGTGTTTTCTGAACCCGTCTTTGAAATACAAAGGAATTTAAGAGAACACATGAAGATGATGGGGGAAAATCTAAATTAAACTCATGAGGGGAGGAAATATTTTTCTGACCTGCACCATAGCTGTGCACAGACAATCCAAACGTGTTATGATTCTGTAATAAAAACTATTGTTAACCACAATCAAGCTGCGACTTGTTGAGATAAAAGCACTTTCTTAATAGCGTTTACTTATACATATATTAAATAGAGCCTACTTGGATAAGGAGAATAGTAGTAGTAGTTTAATTGCAGGTCTTTAACTGGGAAGAACTTTATCCTGTTTCATCACAGAAGTAGTCATTACTGAACCGGCTCAGAGGGCAGAAGATTAAACACCTAATCATTACACAGGATGTTGAAAACCCAAGGCTTTACGTAAATGCCAAGTATCATGTTATTTTCCACTGGGTTGAGTTTCTTGCACTGTCTTCCCAGTTTTCTGGTGAAAACATTTGTTTTCCAACTTTTGTAAGCGAGTTATATGATTGTGAATTACTCCTACGGCTGGTATAAGGCAGGGATGCTTCAGCACCAAGCAGTTACATGGAATAACAGCGTTTCTCAAGTCCGAAGTACTTCTTGTACCACATTCCAGCCACAGGGAGAGTTGCTGAGCCAGGCTTATATTCCCTGGCCCAGTTACATATTCATAGAGTGGCTCTTCCGAATCATCCCATGAGACAGTCAGTGCTGCTTTGGGAACACAAAGTGAGAGGCACAGAAGGGCTACATTCTGCCCCGGTCTTTGTGTTCTACGTGTCATCCTATTGAGACGACCTACACAAACCCTCTCTCTCCGTGAAAATAATAAAACCTTTAAGAAGTCTTTCTCCTCACATTACTGAGTAAACTCACTACCGAGCATCAGTTGTACTTAAAAAGGTATACGAGAGCCACCTATGTGCTATCACTGCTACATTTCATAGCACGAGGGGTAATCCTACTAGATCAGCCTTCTGTTACGAATCACTCCGCTTTCTAACAGCAGAAAATGAAAAGTGTGCATTTACCCTAAGTAGCGAAGTGCAGCCCCCCAGCGCCACCTCCAAAGGCTTCCCTCCCTTCCAAGACCAGCCCCGTGCCACCCGAGTGGGCAGCGCCGCGGTCTCAGAGCCCTGCGTAGACGTGTCGCTCACTCAGCAGCCGCCCTGCGGGCGCTGTACGACGTGGCTGTACCGCGGTGGCCAAACACTGCCGGCCTTTAACCCTTTCTTTCCCCGGTGCCGGCGGGGGCTGGCGCCTCCCGCGACTCACCCCGCGGGTCTAACGCGGTGCCCTCAGAGGCGGAGGGACTCAGCCTTCCGCCCTCAGCCCCCTCAACCCTCAGTCCTCACCCTTCACCCCTCAGTCCCCTCACGCCTCGCCCGGAGGTTCCCGCCCGCTGCCGTGAGGCGACCCCGCACGAGACGCACCCCCAACCCGCCACCACGCTCTCGCCAACACCACTCGGGCGAGCGGCCGCGCGGAGGCGGAAAGAGAATGCGGGACTTGCTGCGCGCGCACGCGCGCTGGAGGCTGCGGCACCTCTCGCGCGAGCGGAGCGCGCACGCGCGCCGTTGAGGCCCGTCGCGGGGCTGGCCCGCGCCCCGATTCGCCGGCGGGGCGCGAGCCGGGGTGGGGGCCGGGCCGCTTTAGACCGGCAGCCAATGGGAAGCGGGCGGGACGGCGGGTAGGGGGGCGTGTCCGGCAGCGGGCGTGTCCCGGGCGGGCGCGCGCTGTCCGGGCAGCGATGGCGGACGATGGGCAGGGGCGGCTCAGGACTGAAGGCGGCCGGGGTGGCGGCGCGGCTGCGGCGGGCGGCCAGATGCTGCTGAGCATTGGGCTGCTGGCGCTAGCGCTGCTGGCGGCCTACCGGCTGTACCTGCGCTGGGGGACACGAAGCGGGCCGGGAGGCTCGGCCCGGAGGGGCGAGGCCGCCCCGCTGCCGCGCATGAAGCGCCGGGATTTCTCCCTGGAGCAGCTGCGCGAGTTCGACGGCGCCCGCAACCCTCGCATCCTCTTGGCTGTCAACGGCAAAGTCTTCGACGTGACCAAAGGCAGCAAGTTCTACGGGCCCGGTGAGACGGCGGGGGGGCGGGGGGCAATCCCGGCCTGGCCGCCTGGGACCCACCGGCGGTGTTAGATTGGTGATGCACACCGGGTCTGGGTTCTCGTCAAGCATCCGTCATTTTTCCAGGTGCCTTGATTTGGATGTGCGATGTTTAATGCTATTTTTTTTTCCTTTTGTCTTTTCTAGTAGGTTTCCCCAGTGCAGCTGAGCAATGCTTTCTTCTAGCGCTTACGGCTTAGGAGAGAAAAACAACCAGCTGGTTATTTATTTATGCCATATTGAGGATGAATTTTAATCAGGATAGAGGCAGGGCAGGGAGAGCTCAGGGACTGCTATGTTGCTGCTGCCATTGGGAAGAGTGCAGAAATCAACCCGATCTCTTAAACAGAAAGACAGACGATACTCCTCTTTGGAGAGGAAATGTGTATTTTGAAGGTTCAGAAAAGTAAGCTTCAAAGGCAATGTTACGTTTTCATACCCACATTGTAGCTTGTGAAACTGCAGCATGTTGTCTCGTAACAAACTGTTCTTAATAATGAGGTGGGTAAACTCACCAGTGAGCACTATGTTCTCATCTGATGCCAAAGGAAATGAGGGTTATGACTGATGATAATTTTCTTCCTTAAACAATGGTGGTTTGGAAAACTTGATTTATTCAAACTATGCCGGAGTTTTCATAGTAGGCATGGGAAGCGTCTTTGTAGGAAGGGTGGAGGGGAGAGAGGATAACTTCCCTCTCCCCCAGGAAATAGTTCAAGTTAAGTAATCATTATTATTATTATTTAATAATCGAGGTCAAAAAACGTAAAGCACAGCACTGTCATGTTACAAGTCTTTGGTTCTTAGTTGGGAAAGGACAAGCAGTTGTATGGTTGAACTGGGCTAGAATTTTGTAACTCTGGTTATCCTCGAAGTTTGTGACACCAGTTGCACAAACTGAAGCTGCTGTAATTGAATCAAAATGCTCAGGGTAATTTTATGTCTCATTGCTGGAGTGTGGCAAGGGAAATGCAAAGCGTACCAACAAAGCATGACCAGATTTTAACAGAAGAAAGAGCTGAGGGCACTGGCTTTGCTGATATTTCAGGCTTTGACCGTGGTATTTTGTTGAGGTACTGATGTGAAATAGAGCGTCAGCTTTGAAGACAGCAGAAAGCATTGGCTGAGGGCTCACTGTCAATTTTAAGTATATCTGGAGTGCTGGGTTAATGTTGAATAATGTGGCTGTCTCAGGTGGCTTCTGATGCCATGAAAATAAGGTCTGGTTTTTCTCCTTCAGTGTAGTTTGGATGCAAAGGTGTTTCTCATTTTTCTACTTACAGCAGAAAGTTAAAAAATGCACAAAATTGTCATTAGTCTAGATTTTTGTCCAACAGTTGAGATTCCATTAAAGTTCCCACCAAACTTCTGACTTTACTCAAAACTCTCATGGTTTTAAGTCACATCCAGTGAATCCTGTTATACTTTGGCCTGTTTCATTGAAGAGCCCTTTACATACATACAGTTAACGTATTTTTAGATATTGATAGACTGTTGAAGTCATCCTTTCAAACAACCATGACTGAAAACTTCACCTTCTTGAACATTTAATCGAAATGTTTTTCAGATTTTTTTAGCTTTTCTCATGTTGTCTTCTTTAAGCCTTACACAGTTTATCTCATCAGTATTCCCTTAGTCTTTGGTATGTCTAAGGCTTTTTAGCTAAGAGCAAGAGAAGGTTACATTGCACATTGACCTGTCTGTGCCTCCAAAACCCACTTTGTTTACACTGTACTCTTAATTTAAAACTTTACTTGCAAGTTCTTTTCTGAAATGCTGCTCTGTCCTGCAAAGATGCCCTTTGTTTCAACACCTCATTTAGGTGTATGAAATGCCACCTCTGCTTGTGCTCAAATGAGTAAGTGACCTAGAATGCTTTGATTGGTTATTAATTTTAATTAATTGCCTTTTCCTTAATCACACACAAACTTTGAAAGAAATAAAGTAGGCAATTAGTGGTTAACTATTAAAAATATCACATAACCAGGCTTTCAGAGAAGCTGTTTTGGGATGATTTCCCATCTGTAATCACATCTCATGACTTAGGGTCTAACGATAGTACCTTTTGTGTATGCTGTCTTGATTTTGTACCTTTATAACAAGACACAGTATCTACTATTTCATTTATTGCAACATTTAATTTCATGTTTGTTTTTATCAAGATTTCTGGTTGTATATTTGTCAATAGAAGGGCATTGTAAGATTTAAAGTACTTTATGTCAGCAAGTCTTAATATTTAGCATTTAAATTGGCATACCAAGGTAATGCTGTAAACAGGTTTTGATTAACTTAGCAAATACTTTGTGCGTTTATGAAAAATATATGTCTTTGAGCATGACAAAGCAAGATTATATGCAATCCTGTGTATGCACCTGTTCACGTCACTTCTTGGTACTTAATGTTTCGTGATCTTAAAAAAATCAATTTCCTGACTTCCCTTTGCTGCAGTACATTGTCACTGTCAGCTCATTTCTCATCCCACTCTTGTCTTTCAAGTTGTCATGAAGATTTCTGATTTTCCAAGTTTGCCAGGAGGAAAAGATAAGATAGTAGTTGTTCCTTCCTATAAAAATAATCCAGTGCTGTTAGACTTCCTTTGGAGTTGAGTGCTGTGAACTTCATTGTGTCTCTATTGACCACATGATAACAGTGCTTTTCCATACATCCTTTACGAGGGTACGGTTAGAGTGAAATGTTGCAGGAGGGACATTATATATGATGTATTTGGACAATTCTGCTAAGGGTGACCTTATCTTAAGAACACAACAGGCTGAGGGCTTACAGATAAGTATGGAGGATAAGACTGGGGGAAAGAAATGCTTTCTCTAAGGTGTGTGTCTTCTCTGCATTTTTGATGTTTGTCAGCTCTTTGGTGTCTATGTAATGAGATGTCTCTCCCCCTGGGATTCAGCTTTTCAGAGAAACAGCATTTCTGGATAAAATGGGTTCCAACCAGAAGCAGTAAAACTAAAAGGTGTATACATGCTATTGGTCAGAGATTGTTTCCATACTTCTGGTTAAAGGGAGTACTGCCTTTGCCACCAGGATGGAGGGGTTGTTCTGAGCCTTCAGGCCATGTTCATGGAGAGCAGTGGCCAGTAAAGTGCTTTTGAGCAGGAAAATCAGTACTCGTCTCCTCCTCTGCTTCTGCTCCTTGTGTCTGTCAGCATTTTCCTTATCTTTTTTAAATTTCTTTTTCCTTTTTTCATAACATCAATATGTTCCTTAAAACTAGAATAACTGTGTTTAATAAAAGGTCTCTGTAAATTCCTAGTTCCTGTTTAAACCAGTCATGTCCCAGTCACAGAATCGATTGGGTTGGAAAAAACCTCTGAGATCATTGAGTCACCTGAGGTTTGAGGGGCCTAATCAAGCAGGTATGCTAAGAGCAAGATATATTAGGTTGTGATAGTGACATCATTGTTAGTGACATCTGGATGTTAAATCCAGTACACAGCAGCATCACTTTCATTTAATCAAAACATCTGGCCAGCATTGCTTGTCTTATTATGAGATAAACTAGTGGCCAGAGCATTTGTCACTAACGCAAGATGTAGAATCTAGGTCCTTCTCAAGAATGGAACTATCTTCCAGGAATCTCTCGACTGCTCAACTACAAGCTCTCTTTGCAGTGCTTGTTGTCTCCCCATAAGTGGATTCTTGCACTTTTTTTTCCTAGAGAGTTAAAAAGGAAATAAGTGAGAGTGAGGCCCTCTGGCCTTATGCCTGAGGAGTCAGGTTTAGACCTCTGTTTCTAAGCAGTTTCCATCTCAGCTTGTAGACTTTGTGGATTGGTCTCCTAAGAACACATACTTTTCATGCAAATTGTAACTTAAAATTAACCCACATCTTTCCTTTCGTGTAAATCTGGAGCAGTAAAGTATGTCACCTTGAATTCCCAGTGATAAATGTTATTAGAAAGCTTCTGCTTTCAAGCTGCGTCTCAAAATGGCTTTGTCTAATTTGTAGCTTTTTCATTCCCTCATGAAAGATGCAACACCGAACAAACACATGTCAGGATTCAGATGGAAAATGTGGAACAGCCAGTGGAGTTTTTGCTTTGAGCTGGAGTGGAAAAAGTAGGCAAAGTGATGGAATAATGCAGTTGTTAATAATTTTGTCTGCAGATGAACAAATGTCGTCCGTGAATATCTAAGCTTCAGACAAAACTGGGGTTTATTTCCAGTGGCTGCATGGAGTCAACAGATGCAAAGAACATCTGGTACACTTTGCATATTTGGTGATTGCACTTCCTACTTGAAGAAACCAAAGCTGCTGGTTTAAAACGGAACCTTGTTAACCTGTGTGGCTTCTTCAGAGAAATCACATGATGGGCCTTGTGAAAATGAATACAATTTTTAGATTACATATCACTTCAT